CATATGCTGTAACTCCTCTCAGCTTCCACCCCATTTTCTAGAAACCTGGAAACCAGAAGTGTGAAGAAGTTCAAAACAGTTTCTCTAGTCCAATATTATTTTTTTACAGCATCAAATGCATGCATTTCACAGAAAGGGATTTTCCTTGCTCCTGAATTGTGAACACTGGGAATACCTTTTACTCCTTAACTACCTGAAACAGCTATCAACCTATACCACAGTTAATTACCACTCCTTTTGCTGGTACCGCTCCTTAGTTATACGAGTGAGGTGGGAGGGCAATGCCCACAGTTAGCAGTCAATAACAAAGTCTTGTAACTTCTCTAGAGACATAAGGTGACTTTTTCTTCTGCTAGATTGTGCTTGAACCATAGGCTCATGATGAAAAATTAACTACAACTGCACAAGAAATTAAAAAAGAGGTCTCAGCAAGTCAGGACATTTTGCTACGCTTACAAGAGATGCTGCAATTATTGTGCAGCAGGAAAGTGCTGAGATGACTTTAATGGCATCTGCTGTCTCTTGATTGACAGAGCATAAACATTGCAGAAATACAAGCAACAGCATTGCAGCCATACAGCACTAGACAGAACATTTACTGACTGCGACCGAGCTATTGCTATCAGTCATGAATGGCACATCTAGCGCAGGGTTATTCCGATTTTGTCTGAGAAATATCCTCTTTTGGATGAAGAGGTATTAGCAGCTTCACAAACACTGTCAGCTAATCAAAAAATATTAGAAAAACTCTCCACAGCTTAGTGGTTTTCTGTCACTTGCTCTAGATGTTAGGAATGTGTGGAAATTAATAAATGTATTAATACACAGCAGCCTGTCAGAAGCCCTTGGCACACTGTGAGCCCACGTACTGCATTTGCCAGTCAAATCTACGTGGTACTCTCAGTACTCCCTGACACCAACCCGTTTGCATAGGAATAGACACGGAATCTGCTTTTAAAGGGTAATATTTCACATTACAGTGCCTGACACTAATGTCTATGTAAGCCGTAAGCGATGTTTAGTTTACAGGCCTGACACAGATGTGCTGTTTATTTAGCTCATGTTTATGCTTATTAATTTGAGCCACATTGTAAATTTTCTAACAAAAAAGCACAGCCTATAAGTTTGTTAATGACTGATCATGCACACAGCAGGAGGCATCACTAATTTCATCCTGGTTAAGTTCTGCCTGCTGACATCCAGGTAGATGAAACGTGCCTATCTGGGCTTAGAGAGACTCATTCTGGGACAGGAACAGGACTGCTGGACCACAGACTGGGTGGGAAGGAAGGATAGAGTAGTAACAGGAAGGGATATGAGGCAGAAAGAGAGTAAAGGGAAGAAAAGCAAGGGTGGAAAACAGGAAATAAAGTGAAAGCAAGCGAGGACTCTTTCTGTCAACTTCTGTCTCTTTTCCTTTCTTCTAAGGTCCTCTCAGGCTCTTCCATCATCCCTTTTGATTAACAGCTTCCTAACTTCTCCTGTTTCTCTTTTCTCATTCATCTATATTGACCTTTTCCCTCTTCTAACACAATCCAAAAAATGGTGGTAGCAAGGCAAGAGCTGTGGGCAGTTGGGTGACAGCCCCTGCCAGTGGGAAGCTACTCAAAACAGGGAAATGCGATGCAGTGCAATGGTGTCTTCCCATGCTACATTAGGGAAAACCATTGTGAAGATGAATGCTACTGTAGAAACACTGGATATTGAAAGGGAAGTGTTTGCTATCAAGACAAAGAAACTAATAACACGCCAGTAAACATTTTTGTATAGACAAACAAGTCTCTCCCATAGAAAATGAGACATATCTGAATGGTAACATTTTCTGTGCCTTGGGGTCTGAAACAGTAGCTGGATGGAGAAAGAATCTTGCTCCCAGTTACACCTATGGGAAGCCAACACACTGGATTTATTCTAACAAAGGGAACAGAAAACAAAGCCAGTTTTTAAGATACAACTGTTTTGAAAAAAAGCCAAGATCTCATTACGGAAATCTATTGCATGATACACGGGTATGTACTTTACCTTCTGATATGTTCCAGAAGATACCCAACTCTTTTGTGGGTGGTTTGTTGTTTTTGGGTTTTGGGGTTTTTTTTTTTGTTGTTTTGTCTTTGGGTTTTTTGTTTGTTAGGGTTTTTTTGTGGGTTTGTTTTGTTTTGTTTTCTTTTTACAAGTTGCATCTATGCACAAAGAAAGTCAGAGGAGCTGAAACAGTGTCACAGCCTTAATACTGATTCATGTGCTTGATCAAGAGCTTAATAATTTTATGACATATTACCAGTCTGTAAAATTTAATACAAAATTTGTATAGTCTGTGATCATTGGGTAATGCTTACTATATAAAGAAAGATAATTTCAGTAGTAGTCTTTTTTCAACTATTTAATACAAATGTCTTACCATTTTTGTTCCATTACAATATTTTTCATTGCTTCTGAACTTCAATAGCGCTGTAACATATCTTTATATGGAGACTACCAAGAGAGTTTCTTTAGACAGAAACTAATTTTTATGCTGTTATTCTGCTGGTTCCTATTAGATTTATACACATACATATTTAATATTTTATATCATTGCATATTGGTAATGTTAATTGTTCAGTGAGAACAAAACACATTTAGGTGATACCTTTTGGTATTCCTGCACTAACTATGGGATAAAGAAACCTTAATTATCTGTCAAGCATCACATACACTTAGAACACCCAGCAAGTCATGAGACAAATTTTGAAGTTTCTCCAAAGCCTAAAATAGTCTCTTTAAGTCCAACATCACTATGTTGGTGCACAGCAGTCCTGAGGGACACCTATTTCTGAGGTATAGGTTGATCCACCGTATTCTTTTTTCATATAATAGACTCATAGAATGGTTTGGGTTGGAAGGGGCTTTAAAGCTCATCTAGTTCCAAGCCCCCCACCACAGGCAGGGAAACCTTCCACTAGACCAGGTTACTCAAAGTCCCATCAAACCGCACCCGGAACACTTTCAGGGATGGGGCAGCCACAGCTTCTCTGGGCAACCTGTGCCAGTGTCTCACCACCCTCACAGGAAAGAATTTCTTCCCAATATCTCATCTAAATCTACCCTCTTTCAGTTTAAAGCCATACCCCCTTGTTCAATCCCTACATGCCCTTGTGAAAAGTCCCTTTTGAGGTTTCTTATAGGCCCCTTTGGGTACTGAAAGCTGCTCTAAGGCCTCCCCAGAGCCTTCTCCAGGCTGAACAAGACAAATTCTCTCAGCCTGTCTTCATAGCAGAGGTGATCCAGCCACCTGAGCATCTTTGTGGCCTCCACTGGGCTCACTCCAACAGATTCATGTGTATCTTACATTGGGAGCTCCAGAGCTGGAGCTCCAGGTGGGGTCTGACAAGAAAGAAGCAGAGGGAGAGAATCATTAGAAATCCTAAAAAAAAAAATAAAAATTAAAAAAAAAAAAAAAAAATCAGACACCAAAATCGATTGCCATCTTCTTTTTTTACTTCGTCTTGATGTCAGCTCCTACTGAGTTTGATCTGCCTTGAGTAGAAACACAGTAAGGGCTTCAGCATTTAGCCCAACAGTAGTAATAATAACAATAATAATAAAAAAGTTAAGCCTCTATGGAAGGAAAATATCAGCATCACAGTATCTTTGATTCTCCATTGCCCAGCAATCTTATTTAGTTACTAGACATATGAAAGAAAACAAAACACTATGGATTTCTATTAGAACCTAGAGTTTCTCCAGTACTCCTTTATGCTGGCTCAATGGCTGCCCTTCCTTTTAAGTAGCCCTAGAAGATCCAGTTTGAACCACAGCAGGATTAGGTGGTTGCATAAGAAAACCCTGGAGAGGAGAGGAATGCACAGAGCTGCAGCACTCTGGCAGGCAATGAGCAATATTCCAGCCCATACTACAAACCAAGAAAGCTGCCATCACCAACAGATGAGCTTTAGAAGAAGGAGCTAGAAGTTTCACCCTACATCTTCAATAGGCAATACATGGTGGAAGAAAGCATGTCCACACATCTCTGGTGCTTGGTATTACAGCCCTGGGCTGAGAACAGAACAGCTGAGATGCTGCTTGTATTTGATGCTTCTGAGGCAGCAACCTCCAGCAAAGGAGTAGTGCTGACAATAAAGACCACATCAGATGTTTGCTTCAGTGCCCACAAAACAAAGCCTCTGGGGAAGGCACCGGGGTGGTCTTAATCAGAAGAGGGTCCTCTCCAGGCACCAAAATCACTCAGGTTTGCAATGACAGAAGAGGTGCCTTTAAGCTCCTGCCCTGCCTACACCAGATGCTTCATTCTGGGACTTGAGATTTAGACCCTTTAGGACCTGATAGCTTGGCCATGCTGGACACTGGAAAAAAATATAGGCACAATGGGAATAATTTATTTTAAAAAACTAAATATGTATTGTGCTTTTGGAAAGAAATTCATAAATATTATGCTTCCATGGAGTAAAAACAGTATATACCAATGTATTTTCTGCCCCAACATAGGAAATGGGTTCCAAACTCCAAAATTACATCAGTGTGTTAGTGAGCAGTTTTACATGTACGTAACTCCTTCTTTTTCCTGATGTATTTGCAGGTAAAAACTTCACTGACTTGTGTGATAGTTCTTACATATTTGTAATATATCTCTACCCGAAGAGCAGCAAATTATAAAAGCAGATTCTCTATAAGCTATCAGATTGCTGCAGGGGAAAAACAACCAATAAACCAAAAAAATTTTCCACAAAACCAAACATGGTCTTGCATGTAAAACTGTTTTCCTGACTTCTCCTCCCCCCAAAATGCATAACATTAGTTGTGTAAAAACTAAACCACCATATGAGGCATATTTTAAAGTCTCATATAAACAAAGAAGCTTTTATGGCATCCTCAGAGCAAAGAATGTCCAAATATGGCTGCGAGTTAAGTACCCTGAGAATTAACTACTCTTAATAAATTCATTGAAGTTTATAAGTCCACATTTACCAAGAATCAGAAGAGAAATAAAGGGAAGAGAACATAACTCATTTTCCTGTACCATTCTCTAAAGATGCTGTGTTATAAGCATCCTCCATATCTTGGATGCTGGAGGCATCTGTTGAATCTTGGTCACTGACTACAATTCCTACTGAAGAAAGGCTAGAAATGAAGGAGTGCATCTTTTTTGCATAAATATCCCTAATATTAAAATAAGGTAGGTCATCACATTTCTCTTTGCGATCATTGTTGCATTGGTCTGGATCAATATCTTTTTGCTTTTGATAGTACTTAGAAAACTTATTGAAAATAATGGTGATTGGAAGTGCTACCACTAGTATCCCACAGATAATGCATAGCGTGCCAAGCAGCTTTCCAGCAAGAGTAACTGGGTAAGTGTCCCCATAACCAACAGTGGTCATGCTGATGGTTGCCCACCACCAACAAACAGGGATGCTTTGTAGTTCTGATGAGTCATCATCTTTCTCCACTGAGTAAACAAGCACTGAAAAAATAGAAATCCCAACAGACAAAAACAAAAGCAGAAGTCCAACTTCCTGATAGCTATGTCTCAAAGTGGCACCTAAAGACCGCAGTCCTACTGAGTGCCTGGCCAGTTTCAGGATGCGAAATATCCTCATTAACCGCAGGATCTGAACAACTTTCCCCATGTTTTCTATGTCTTCACTTTCTTCTTCCTTCGTGTCCACAGCCAATGTGGCATAAAATGGGATAATAGAGACAAAATCAATGATATTCAGTGGTTTCTTCCAGAACTTCTTTTGACTTGGAGCAGTGATGAGCCTGATCACTAGCTCACCAGTGAACCAGATGATGCATGTGATCTCCACAGCTTCCAACACAGGGTCTTCAATCTCCCTGTCATTGGCGTCCAGCCTTTGAAACTCTGGCATGCTATGAATGCACATGGCCACAATTGACGCCAGGACAACACTCAGGGACGAAACGGCAATTAACTTGGCAGATAAGCAGTATGCAGGATTTTCCATTCTGACCCAGATCTTCTTTCTTATTTCACCAAAACACAGATTGTCAAACTTTTCCAGCTCTTCATCAAACATGGATGATTCTTCGTTAGAGGAGTCTATACTTCTGTCATTGCTCTTCTGGTCCCAGTCTTTCTCAGGACCTTCTTCTTTCCTTTCTTGGTACCGATTGCTGCAGCACGAATCAATAAACAGCTCATTTATCCCCCAGTACTCTATTTCCTGGCAGAAGGAAAAGACACAAAGTTCTTCCATGACGTGAAGTTTGCCTGTATAGTAAAAATTCAGAACATATCGGAACAAGGAAGGATTCCTGTCAAAGTAATATTCTTTGTCTGCAACACTATAATCATCACACAGTTCTAGGATAGCCTCTTCTGAATGGCATTTGAGAAGTTTCCCAAGTCTGGTGTGGGGAAATCGGAGCAAGGTGCTTTGATCCACTGATTGCTTAAAGCCACCCACGTTCAAATTGACAAGTTCTGCATCTTTGCCAGGTCTGTGGAAAAATTCACCATAAACCATTTTGAATAGATGAGTTCTGCTTCTGGTGCCCAACGAGATCACATTGAACCTGAAAAGAACATAAGGTATTGTTAGATATTGTTAGAACATTTAATTCAGTTTTGCTCTTGTGCCACATCATTTTTTTCATGTCTGGTTACTGTGAAATGCTGTAAAAAAAAAAAAAATATATAAAAAATTAAGCAATGGATACAGCTTTAGCAAATCTTAAATCAATGGGTTCTGGTTTACTCCCCATAATCTTTTCTAGTATGGAAGAAGAACACCTAATTCATCAGTAAATCAGTCTGTGTTCTACTATCACATTGAAATTAAGTCATGAAATAAGTTTACTTTGATGACATTAAAAAAAATAAATCTTTAAAGACAGAAAACTTGTCAATTCATCAACACATTTCATAGAATCATAGAATGGTTTGTGTTGGAAGGGACTTTTAAAGGTCATCTAGTCCAACTACTTGCAATGAGCAAGGACATCTTCAACACATTTAGGACAAAGCATGAGAGCAGGTGTCTCACACTTATGGTGCAAGTAGAGCTGCATTGATTTCTATGATGCTACAGCTTATAACCCACTACTTTCACCATTACCTGCTTGCATGTAGACCGCAATTACTTCTGTTGTCATATCAATTAATTTCTTTCTAGAGTCACCCGCAGCAGAGCATTCTGCATTCTTGAAAAGATATCAAATGTGCATTTGAAGCTTTCCAATTCCTGATTTCAGAGTTCTGCCTAGTACATATCTGGGTATCTGCTCCTGACTTCCTACTCACCTGGAGTGTCCCAGCCCTCTTCAACCTTGGTCAGTTCCAGAAGCAGTTCCTATTCTGCCACAGCATAGCCACAACCACTAAGGCAATACTGAAAAGTTGGTGTTTAAATGTCATTTCTGGAAACAGGGGCTTCCAGAGGTGGAATTTCCACACTAATTTTGCCTCAGCAAGTAACTGTGGATACCTGCAGATGGACAGAAGAACATTTCAATGTTTCCATACTTTACTGGAAGTTAAATCATTCACCTGGTACTTATTTCAAAAGGCAGATATAGTTACTAGAAAATAAGTAAAATTTTTCAGAACTTAGCTCTTGCTTTACTTCTAAGGAATAGTCGTCTTCAAGCCAAAATTGGCAGTTCTTACACTTGTCATGAGATTATGTATAACTTCTGACCATAAGGAGAGCAAATTTTTTTGCTCTCTGACACTTAAGCATTAATTGACGTATACTAAGCTAATTCATTTCAATTTAATATGGAAGTCAAAGAATTTTAAATGTGATGAGAGCATTGTAATTCTCCAGTCCTAACAGATGGACTCATATGCAGCACAGAAATTGCTTTGGTGCTCTTTAATGGCTTGGGTAAGCTACTCAAGGAACAGACTAATTTCTATCCCTGTTCATCTTTCAGTGCCTCCTACAACAGCAACAATTATGATTTGAAGTTAGGACGTGCTAGAGTTTGGATATTTTCTGTAGCTCCTCAAGGTCTCCTGACTCAGTTAATGAAGGTCATTCAAGTTATATCTATATCCCTGTTGGTAGTGTGTGCACCATGGTTGTACCCCTGCTGTATGCCAGCACGACAGAGTACCAGCACTGCTTTACATGAACGAATCCTGGGCATTTTCCTCAAACAGAAGTCACTGTAGACTTTAATTAGAGTGCCAGAGTGGATGGACGAGATACTGGGCCTCAAGGCTGAGCCCCACTTTACACCATCAGAACAAGTAGGAGGCAAAAGAAAAAATAATCTCTGTCCACAATCTTTATTTACTGTCAGCTAGAACAATACAGCTTTCATTCAGCCTCAGGTACTTGCATTAACAGACTAGTTCTTTTGAGCCGCATACCCCACTTCAGTGCCTTCCACATGGGATGACCACTGGGAACCCATAGTGGCACAGTTTCAGGGCACGAGTTAAGGTATATCAGGTTTTAATACAGATCCGTTTTTCTGTTTAGGGGGAGGTTACAAAGAACTTTCGGAGTCATGATCTCACTCAACTCGCCTTTAAGTTTCACCCCCAACAAAGTTTTTTCAGATTTATCACAAACATCACTAGAGATCTACTCAGTGCTCTTCTCTCCCATTATTTTCATTGTATAATTATTATATTTTGGTAGTCCTTCATGCAAGTAGGAACACAGAGTCTGATGCTATAAACCTCACGTATTCTACTTCTGCTTCTTCTTCTGCTTCTTCATGGGACTCATTCCAACCAAAGCTACTGAAAAATCACACAGTAATCTCCCTGTGTATAACAACTACTGACACATATAACACATGATCAACCAGGCCTGGAAGACGCTGAAACTACATATTTACTCTGGTAATTAATTCTGCAGAAGCAGATCTATATCCAGAGTAAACTTTATTTATACAGTGAAAGAAAAATGTTATTTTAAAAAATGGGGAAAAGCATTTCTTTTTCTGGCCCCAGTACAACTCTTTAATTTAGATTTGAGATGAGTTGTTTGCCATGTGCATAGTCTACTATACAATCAAAGTTCTTGTTCTGCTAAGACATAGCGGGGGTGGGAAAAGTACTGCATGAGACATACTACTTTTTAACTAAGCAAGACAGAGTAGGCAGGTTTTATGGCATGATAAACAGTGTACATAGATGTAATTTTACACCTTAAGATGTAGCTTGAAGACAAGTATTTACCAGCTAACAGAATGATTGCAAGACGCAGTTATTACAATCATTTCCCAAGGCTCAGCTTTTAGGAATGATAAAGACATAAAATAAAAGCACTGATCTCCACTTACAGGTGAAGGGCAGCAGCACTCAGCTCATGAACAGTACCATACTGCACTCACGATCTAGAGCCAAGCTATGTTTTATAACCCTCCAAATTTAAAAAATTAAAAAAAAAAATCTCATGGACTAGGGTAACTGGAGGTCAAAGTATATTCAAAACCAAACATTCCACTTACCGATTACTTTCAGTACAATCTCTACTTAGCTTTCAGCAATTAAGATGAGAGCACTAGCAATGTAAGCTAGTACTATAAAATCCAGACAAGATGTCAGATGATCTAGGGGCTCTTCTGACCATAAGAAAAACAAAGCAAGTTTTACTCAGAAGTAACTAAAGTGAGAACGTGGTGTTCTGCAAATCCTTAGCACACTATACTCTGACTTACTGTTTTATACAACAATATAAAACCATATTGATTATTCAGATGATATTCATAATGGTGCCTCCATGTAATCGCTCTGTATAATAAATTCAGTGAACAACATTTTACTGCTTTGTTTTGACTGTAGTCATAATTTGTGCAAGATACTGAGAGAAAAATAGATCTTGCTTAGGAAGGCCATGATCCAGAACCTGCTATAATGCTACTATTAAGTTATTTTTAGATTAAATAAAGAATGTACAGGAAACTATGAATAGGAAATATGCTAACTATGTCAAGAGAAGCTTCATGATCTGAAGAACGTCTTGTTTGACTTGCAGAGACCTTGATCCCTGACGATGGACCAGGACATTGTTACGCCAGGCACCGTAAGAACAATTTGTGGCATTTAAACAAGCGACTCCAGCCACAGGGCAAGGACCACAAATGACAACTTCTGCCTCAGCTCAACTTACTGTCTACTCAAGGGAACTCTTTACTCGCTCAACCAAAAGTAAAACTGCTCAGCTGGAAACAACGTTTTCCTGGAGTGCCAAAGCCTGTGTTGTGAACATCCTAAGAACATAGAGCTACCACAAACTTCGCAACTCTCAAATTGAAGTGCAATATTAAAGTCTTTGATCTCTTCCATACACAACAAATATTCATATATAACATCATAAACTGCTAAACATCCCAAAGCACACACTTCTTGTCCTGGAGAGAGTATGAGAGAGTAAACAAGCACATACCAGATGTTAGTTATTTGTTTGCTTTAATGGCTTCAGTTGTTTCAATGAGCTACTGGAGAAGAACTCATATAGAATAGAAAACTTAACAGAATACAAACGAAAGATGCTTACTGGAAGAATCAACGTTATTTTCCAAGATGATGAAAAAAACCCAACAAATAAAAGTTCCAAATGTTAAGCTTGAGGGCTAAATAAAAGCCAGTCATAAGGAAAGCTGTGTGAAAAAGGATACAAACATCAGAATAAAAACCAAAATGACAGGATCCAGCTCCCAGTCCAATTTGTAGATGGGCTCTAGCCAGAGCTTCTGCAGTCATACATTGTTGGCAAGGCCACAGGCCCATTGTCTGTCTTGGAAGTGGGATTGCAAATTTCTGGGCTTTTACACACTGTGAAATCCCTAAAGCTCACAAAAGGAGAGTCACTGAGACAGAGTCTGTATATACAGTCCCTTTTAGAGAATTATGCCACAGATGTATATCATACCCCAAAGTGCTGTGGTGTCCAAACTCTTCTGGAGCAAACCCCTAAAAGATTTTCAGTGGCAATGTGGATCCCCATACCACAACTTTATTTGTCGGCAAAGTTTCTCTTTTGCAGTTATCTTTCACACAATCTCTACATAAAGCCCCATACTCTGTGAGGTTCTACATCACAAGCTTCAATACGTCTTCTTTGACTTGTAGCGCATTTCAGTATGGTAGTACCTCAGCCATTGGTAATTCCAAATTGGGACGGTTTCAGTTTTTGTTAGCATTAATCTGTCTGTGATTATCCAGACACAACAGAAAGAAAGTTGAACTAATTTGCAATTGGACAGGATATATTGTGCTTTGCTACTTAAAATATTCAAAGACAGCATAGACCTACAGATTTTCTTATGCTTTACGCTTCATGGCTATGTTATCTATAGCCCCACCTCCTGCTTGTTACACAGTAGCACTTCAAAACCTCTCAAGACTAAGAAAATTCACATTTCAGGATGGTTTTCTCCAAGTTGAAAGAAGATAAGTAAAAATAGCCTAGTCCTGCTTACACTGAAGTCAAGAGGAATTCGATACTGACACGCATTTGAGAAAGCATGCAAATCTCTAAAACTCTACACAGTATTTCCAGAGATCAAGGACATTTTTCTCCACAGAATCTGATAAACTCAGTAGATTT